GATCCCCTCCCTATCAAGCAGGGATGGAAAGTCCTGGATTTGCAGTCTGCTTGCTTTGATACAATCCATGTCAAGTAAAAGGGGAACCTAGTTACTACTAGAATAATTTACTATTTTAATTTTTTATTTATTCAACAAATATCCACTTGATGTTAATGTTTTATAGGAACTATTCTAGACACTAATGATACAGAATTAAATATGATGGAAAAAGGCCTGGCCCATCATACAGTTTGTGTTGTAATGTGACAGAGATTACAATAAGCAAATAAATATTTAGCTTGATTATTGATGAAATCAGGGATATTATTTTGAACAAGGTTGTTAAGAAAGGTTTCACTGAAGGGGCCACAATTGGGAATAGAGCTTATTAAAGTGCGTGAAGGAGTTTACAAAATTTTAAGTGAAAAACATTCTAGATGAAGGGAACAGTAGGATCAAATAACATAAGGCAGAAATTTATTGTATGTAATGTATGTGTTTTAATACATATTGTAAAGAAAAATAACTATCACATCAAACTCTTAGATTTCACTGATATTATTGCTTAAGAAGAAGCTCAGTTTTTTTCCCCAAAAAGGAGTCCCTATAAAAGGTTTCCAGGAACTGAAAATACAGCTCAATGACATAGCACTTATTAGCATGTATAAGTCCCTGGGCTTGATCCCCAACACTACCCCTCCAAAAAGATTTCCACAAAATTATTACGTGAGTATGATAAGACTTTTGACAGTATTGAAGTTTCACAAACCAGTCTCTCTCTGAAGTGAGTATTATTGGTCCAGTTCATAGATGAAGGAATGGGAATGGGGCCAGGAATTTAGCTCAGTGGCACAAGCACCTGCCTTGCAACCACATGGTCATGAGTTCAATCCCTGGCACCAAAAAAAAAAAAATAGATGAGGGAACTTTATTTTATTTTGGGGGGTTAGCAGGAGTTGAACTCAGGACCTCACACTTCCGAGGCATGTACTGTGCCACTAAACTATATCCACAGCCCCTAAATGAGGGAACTTTAGCTTAAGGAAGTTAATTAAGGAAGTCACACAGCAAATAAGAGAGGGAAATGGGATTCTCCATGACAAGCTGAGGATTATGCTCAAAGCTTAGAAGAAGAAATAATTTTCCTTCTGCCTGGTGAAGCTGCTGATTGTTGCATACAATAAACAAGAAACGTGGAAGAGCAGTTGGAGGGCTTTATATAAAGCACTTTTGTTTGTTATTTGTTTGCCCAGAATACATGGCTAAAGCAACTGTATTGCTCATTCCCTCCAGCTTTTACTACTAAAATGATCATGAGGCAAAAGGAAGATTGGAAATTATTAGAGAAAATAAAGTATAAAGTATATCACTCAGGGTTCTGGAATGTTTAACTATTGACAACTTTCTCAATCTACCCAGAAGACTTTTAACCAACTGAGATTCAGATACTATGTTGAGCATAACTGCCAAATCCAGAAGCACTGAGGGTCATTTGATGGCAGAATAAGCAGGCCTCACGGCCCAGGGGCAGCTACTGTAGGATTCTTACCACAGAGTTCCACAGGAAGCTCTGTAGACATCCCATCCCACAGGCTCTTCTGCCATACCTGAGCAAGGACATCCCCAAGCCATGGTCAGACCACCAAGAAGCCCCCAGTCTTTTGAGAAAAAGGAAGCATCTTTATAGGCTCCTGGTTTACTCACATCCTTTTGCTTCTTTGCAGCTCCAAGCATATTTAAGAGGGAGATTTCATAAAGATTTCTAAATTGAGTTAGAATTTCAAGTCTATTGTGACATGCAAATTAGTCTGGCTTGCCCGTTGGCAGCAATGCAGCTGAAGTGCCCAGAGATGGGCCATAAAATGAAAACATCAAAGTGATTAAATGTGCCCAAAGAGCATAATTGAGTGCATGAATAAAAGAAAATAAAACAAATTGATTTTCTCCAGTGCCAGAAAAACAGAATAATTGAGAACAAAATAATAGACTTTGAAGTAATCAAAGTGAGGAATGCACCATAGTGACATAGAAACAGCCAGTTGTGGGAGCGATTTATGGTGTTTCTGTTATCATTTTTACAACTTTAATTTCATTAGCTAATAAATACAAATCAATTGAAAAATCATTCAACCAGAGAGGAGACCGTCCCGAGCCAAGATTTTTATTTACATCTCTAAGACAAGCTGAGGTGTTATTCCTTAATCTACTTTCATAGGTTCACATTCCCTGTGAGCCATCGATAAACTAGTTCTGAGAGGCTTTTGCTCTGAAAGTGGTAATTTTCTTCCAGTTAACCTTGCACTTATAGACTGAACTTTCAAAAGGGACACTTTTATACTCCACCAAGATTTCTAACACAGAAGTGTCAAAGTGCAAGCATTTTGGTTTACAAAACCAAAAGATGATATTTTTATGGCACTGACCAGCACCATGGTCTTAACCGGTGAAGCCCTTCTGGTTTCATTTGGAAGTAGTAACATCTATGGCAGCAACCACAGCACTTCTCCCCTTCTCACAGTACTACTGGGCATCTATGGCTCACTGCTTCCATCACTTCACACATGCAAACACATATGTCTACATTCCTGTGGACACACACACACACACACACACACACACACACACATATACAAAGTGGTACTAAAGTCTAATCCAAATCCTGGAGGGCCCAGGAAGAGTAGACACCCTTTTGGTTTCCAGCCTGGTGCATGACTATAGTACTGGGGAAAATGAGGGAAGTGTTTCATCTCGTATCTATCCAAATGTTCCTCAAAGTCCCATGTGCTCATAGGTGGGGCTTTTGAGAGTGACCAGAACATGGGTGTGTGATACTGGATTGGTCCACTGATTGGTTTAGCATAGTTCTGAGTGTAGGTGATGGATTTAGTGAAGAGGGAAGATCCACCATGGTTATGAATGGCAACAATCAATAGGCTGCTGCTTCCTGCATGTGAGTGCCATGAAATGTTTCTCTGCCATGCCACCTTGCCTTAGAGCGAGCTGACTATGAGCTGAAACCTCTATGTTTTACTTATTTTTCTCATTGCTGAAACAAAGTATCTAACACCCCACAAGTTAAGGGAGGAAATGGTTCTTTAGCTCACAGTCTGTAGAGATTTCAGTCCACAATCAGCCGGCTCAGGCAGGTGGGATGGCAGACAAGCATAGCTGAAGAGAAACAGCGCACAGTAGGCAGAAGGTAGCAGAGCAAGCAACGAATAAGCACACCCCTTTCTACCCCTTTCATATTTTCCAGGATACTTAGGGCAGGTGGCACTCTACCCTTAATCTTAGTCCCCTTGATCCTAGTGTCACACACTCTAGATTCACCCATCTCTGAAAAAGCCCCACCTGTGACTGCATGAGGCTTTAGGGAGACATCTACACACAAGTTGTAATATTTTACAAACTTTATAGTTTGTAATAAACCTTTCCTCCTTTAACTTTGAATGTTGGGCATTTGGTCTGAGCAATGAGAAGGCAACTAAGACAAGAGGAGAGTTAGAATGGGGCAGACATCTCATGTTAACTGTGATAATAGAGCACTGGCAATACCAAGCTATGCTGGAACCAGGTGCTGAAAAATTACAGAGCAAATATGAGATTGCTGGAAAACTATATTTATGGCTTCTTCAAGAAAAGAATCCCTCCACACCATTCCTCAGCTGTTCCCTTCAAGATCCATGCTCAGGGCTGATGTGATCTGAATTGTGAGTTTCCCTTTCACAGGCCTTTGGGCTACTCCTCCAGATATTCATGACATATCCTACCTTCAGGGATTCACAGTTAGCAGGCATGTCTTTGGCTCCAGTAAAGGTCTTTGAGACCACTCGGACTGTAAACTTGGTTGTGCAGAAGGAGTTGGCAGTGCTGAGACTGGCACTACTTGCTGGCTCAATCAGCATGGTTAGTAGATTGTGCCTTCCAGGCAATTTGTCCTGGAGAATTTTTCTTCCAGAAAGCACCTAGGTGCTGAAGGGAGTCTCTTTGACATTCTGATGACCTCGAAGGCCCAATCATGATGTGCCTTGAGGTAAAATAGGGGATGGATACATTTTGCCCTTTTGAACAAAAGAGCAAAAGCTTGTATTCGGTTCAAGCCAAAAATCCCAACTTCCATTTCCCACTGGTATTTGGGTGGAGCAAATGGCTTTCAAAACTCTGAAGCATTATACAGATGTAAGGCTGTATTATTTTTCCTGCCACTGCTATTCCCATTATCCTGGATTTCCCAGCCCAGAATTTTTATCTGAAAAAGAACTGTAGAGAAGGTACTTTGAGCAAAGAATCTGGGAATGGTGACTCCAAAACCACCTGGAAAGCATCACCCAGCCCAGCAGATAGACAACTGCTGAGAGGCCTGGCTCCACAAGCTGTGTAACAGGCATGCAGCCCACTCCTGTGATGTCACCTCTGCTTTGTGCCCATCCCTTCACATAGAGCCAACAGATTTAGGCACAGAAGGGGGAAAAAAATGAATCATAGGCTATTTTAGAAATTGCTTCAATTCTGTTTGAGCCTGCAGTAGTCCCTTGCAAGCTGAGACCAGGGCACCCTCACCATCAGGGTAATATCCTTTAAGTGTTGATATCCTGTAAATGCCAGAAGCCTGGTGGGACTAATCCACAAGCGTAGAATCTAATTCAGGCCAGAGGCAGACAAGCGGTAATTGGTTGTTCTATGTAATTGTCACTCAAAGGCTTTTTGATGACAAGAAGGATCCACATTCCAAGGCAAGCAATGCAGCTGACAATTAAGAGCTAAAAATTAAATCAGCCATCCACATCAGCACATGGCCAGAACTTCATAGAAATCCTTCTTACTGCCATTGGTCTGAGGTAGAAAAGAAAACCCTCAAACCTGGCCATGATGAAGGCAAAAACTGGAAAGCTTACTTTACCCTAGATTATGCTAGATCCCCTCCCCTCCCTACAGTTTCAGCCTTCTCTACCTTCATCCTGAATTCTGGCCATGAAAACTTTGTAGTTTCCTGTATCCTGCTACCGGAAACATTTTTTAAAAATATGAAACCCTTCACAAATTCGCATGTCATCCATGAGCAGGGACCACGCTAATCTCGGTATCATTCCAATTTTAATATATGTGCTGCCAAAATAAGCACATCTTCTGGGAACATTTTCCCCCTTTGCCCTTCAAGATGGCACCTGTTCTGTGAAGCCTTTCATCCTCTCACTCTTTTTCTGCCCTCAGCACACTGTACAAGTGGGTATTCCATCACCCTGTTGCTATGGATGATGATATATTTAACTCCAAATATGCCTCCCTCACTGGACTGAGAGCTCCTTGAAGGCAAGAACTATGTCTTGTTCTCTGTGGCCTCAGCACCCAGCACAGGGATTAGACCATGTGGACACTAGTAAAGGCTTATGCAGTGCCTGGACAGAGAAGTGGACCCTACTGAGCCAAGAAGGTGTGTGCCCACCACGTGAGATTATCAGATACTAGAAGTCTAGGCTCCAGCTACCCAAGAGCCATCTCTATAATGATTTTTCTAAAATGTACCCCATGTTCCTCTATAGAAGAGACAATATGAGATGGCACAAAGACATTTTTAATTTAAAAATTAAGTCATTTATTTTAATGTATGTTTTAAAATATAGCAAACATATAAAATATTTTTATTAGTATTTGTATTACTGCTTAGGGTCGATGAGGCCAAAATAGGATATTAAACTTTTTTAAATGAATGTATATTATAATCCCACCACTTGGGAGGCTAAGGCTGGAGAATCACCACAAGTCCAAGGTTACATAGTGAGTTCAAGTCCAGCCCAGACTATACAGTAAGATCCTGTCTCAAAAAAATGAATGAGGGGCCGGGGGTTTAGCTCAGCGGCATAAGCACCTGCCTTGCAAGCAGGCGGTCATGAGTTCGATCCCCGGTACCGATAAAAATGAAAAACACACACACAAAAAATGAATGGGTATACGTAGAAATATTTTAAGTGACTAATGATGCAGATATTAAATAGATATGACAGTATTCCTAAAAGGACACCTCATGTGATGGTAGCTGTAAAAGTATTTTTCACGGTCTTACATTCACTTTTCTGTTCTTTTCCGGTGCCATTCAGACTCCAGGGATTCTGGGTTCACTCTAACATGCCTCCAAACTGCTATGACTCCGTCTACTGAACTCATTTGCCACCTTCCCCGGTAACACTGATTCTCCATTTATTAGCATGTGTTCACTCACCTTCTAAGGTCCTTAAGAGCAATGAACAAGTGAGGATTGAACCCAGAAAGACTGACCTATATCCCTAACCCACTTTTAAAATTTTATCTTGAGAGAGGGTCTCACTAAATTGCTCACACTGGCTGCAAACTTGTGATCCTCCTGCCTCAGCCTCCCAAGTAGCTGGGATTACAGGTGTGCACCACTACACCTAAGAGCAATAACCAAGCTCTAGGTCTCTGTTGGTTGAATAGGAAAGTGTGTGTGTGATCAGTTACTCCATATGTAGCTCTACAGATGTTTGGTCTTTTGATGAATGAGTATTGAGCACCTGCTCCAGGCCAGGCACTGTTGAGGTTGTTCACAATGGAGTAATGAAAAAGATAGGCATACAGCTTGTACAGATAGACAGACAGTACACTAATAAAGAAACAGTATTTTTCAGCATGCTAGGTGCATTAATGAAGATAAAACAGGACCTAATGACAGAAAAGAAGTGACTTGGTCTGGCAATTCAGCCTGGGTAGTCACAAGGCCTCTCAGAGATTACTTGAGTTGAGACCTGAATAGATTGAAAACTCATGTCCATACAAGAAACTGATATGTATGACAGCTTTATTTATAATTTTCAAAACTTGGAAGCAGCTAAGATGACCTCCATCAGGCAAATGGATAAAATGTGGTACATCCAGACAGTTGGAATAGTATTCGCTGGTAGAAAGAAATGAACTATCAAACCACAAAAAACATGAAACAAACTTGAATGTATATTGCTAAGTAAAAGAAGGCACTCTGAAAAGGCTGCATACTGTATGACTCCAACAATATGACATTATAAAAAAGGCAAAACTACAAAAACAGTAAAAAACAAAAATAAGTGAATGCCAATCTTCTGGGGTAGGAAGGGAAGGGTGAATCAGTGGAGCTCAGGATTTTTAGGGCAAGAATACTATCCTGTACGATAGGTTACACTTTTTAAAATTTATAGAACTGTATAACACCAGCATGAACCCTAATATAAACTGTGGATTTTAGTTAATAATAATATATCAGTATTTATTCATCAGCTGTGACGGGTGTAACTTACTAATGCAAATGTTAATAATAAGAGCCATGGCCTACAGGAACAGGGGAAGGGAATAGGTAAGTGTTCTTTATACTTTTGCTCAGTTTTTCTGTAAAAGTAAAAATGCTCTAAAAATAATCTAGTCATTAAAGAAGGAACAGAGCATTTACCAGCACCTAGCAAAGTCCCTAGCACAGAGTAGACAAGGTTTGTTGAACAAATGGATAGACAAATGAGTTAATCAGTCGATAAATAAATAGAACACAATCCAGTACTCATTCTTAAACATCAGAGGTAGGATAATAATGTAATTAATTGATTGTCCAAACCAAGATATTTTAGAATGAAATGGAGTGCCACAGATGTAAATCAAGACCATTCCAGAAATAAGCAGAAATTTCAAGCCTGGGGACCATGAGCCACGTTGTACCTCCAAACTTGTTTTGTTTGGCCATTCATGTTGATGCTCCACACAGTTTTCTTATTTTCATTTTTTTTCAGTGCCAAGAATGGAACCCAGGTCCTCACACATGCCAGGCAAGCACTCTACCATAGAACTATATCCCCAGCCCTCCACACTATATATATTTTAAAATTTTTACTCATTTGCCCAAGTTTAATACTGTGGAAATGTTACATTAAAATGTAAATTTCTGACTTCTCTTGGAAAGTACAAAGCTCTGGTCACTCTCAGCCTGCATGGCTGCACTGTAGTGAGTGACTAAAGCTGAATACCAGCTGCCAGCTTTGCAAGCGTGTGCCTTCCAGTTTGCCTCACACTCCACCATTCCCCTTTATACATCTTAGGAAAGGCCAAGTGTGAGTTTCCATTTACCAACCCACTTACACTGTTTGGGTTTTGTTTTCTCTTGTAATAGCATTAAGCAAAAGGAAACTATTTTTATACTCATTGTGATTCAAAGTAGGAAAATGGAAAAAGCAGCAAGAGGAGTCCAGATGTCTTGCCTCAATCTGCTTTACTCGCATCCAGTATAATCTTGGTATCTCTATGCATTGAGGGTTTTTTTCTGGTCCATCTCCTCAGGATCCAGCCTGTGTTGGCCTTCAGAATTTTTGTCAGGCTGCTACCCATTGCTGGAAAACCTGGATACCAAGGAGAAATAATAGGCGGATTTAAACTTACATTTTTATGTAAAACGTAACATTGCTCATCAACAACTTTTGGTGGAAATTATTTCTGTCGATTTTCTTAATTATTTTCAAATGTAACTGGAGAGCAAGTCAAGGCAACAAAATACAATACCCACCTTTCCTCTCTGTGAACATGGGCCATTGGAATGTTATGACATTTTATTCACTAGTTCATTCACTCATTCCCAAGCTCTGACTGTGCTCCCGGATGGAGAGACCCTCACTTAAGTACAAGGATCCCCTGAAGTTGTCTTCCACAGAGAAGGCATGGGAGAAACACATGAACAGGGCATGTCTGGAGCTAAGGAGTTGCACTTCATTTATAGGCAGTCAGATGCTGCTAAGTTTTTGGACCAGAAGAGGGATATAATCACAGCTAGCAATTGTCAGGAGACAATTCCAAAAGCAGAAGCATCAGTCAGGTATCTGTTGGAATGGCCAGAGTAACAAGAGATACGACTTAAGGTGGAGACAGATTTGAAAGAACATGTTGAGATTAGGCTTGCAATTCATCAAACATGGAGAAACATGAATCAAAAGATAAAAAAATCAAAGATGATCCAAAAATTTTCTGTTTAATGGTTTAAAACACCAAAAATATGATCCAAAAAAGAAAGAAAATTGCTAGGGGCTGGGGATTTAGCTCAGCGGCATAAGAACCTGCCTTGCAAGCAGGCGGTCGTGAGTTCGATCCCTGGTACCGATTAAAAAAAAAAAAAGAAAGAAAGAAAATTGCTAAATTAACTTCTGCTTTGTAAATGAAAAAGAATTTATGTACTGAGATAAAATATTGGCAAATCATGTATCTGACAACAGATGTATATCTCAAACATATAAACTCTACAAATTCATCAGTAAAATATGTGGGCAAACACTGGGCTTGTATCTCAGTGTTAATGTATTTACCCAACATGTCTTAAGCCCTGAGTCTGATCTCCAGCACTGTAAAAAAATAAAAAGTGGGGTCAGGCATAGCGGTATATGCCTATAATCCTAACATTTCAGGAGGCTAAAGCAAGAGGATCACAAGTTTGAGCCCAGGGTAAGCAACTGAGTGACCCTGACTCAAAATTTTAAAAATAGAATAAATAGCTGGGGATACAGCTCAATGTGAAGGCCTTGGTTCAATTCCCAGTACCACCAAGAGGGGGAAAGGGGCAAAAGACAGAAGGAAGATATGGAGACAGCAAATAAGCACATGAAAAAATGTTCTACATTGTTAGTCATTAGGAGAAACAAGTTAAGATTACAATGTGATATAGCTATCCACCTGTCAGAATAGTCACATAAAACCAACAACAAATGTTGGCAGAGATATCAAGAAATTGGATCCTTCATATATTGCTAGTAGGAATGTAAAATGATGCAGCCACTCTGGAAGATAATTTGACAGCTTCTTATAAAACTGAAGACACAGCTGCCATGCAACCCAGCAGTTGCACCCCTGGGCATTTATCCTCCACAAAAATGAATAAATACAGTGTTCACACAAAAGTCTGTACATGAGTGTTCATAGCAGCTTTGTTCATAGCAGCCAAAAGCTGGAAACAGTTTACATTTATTTCAATGACCAAATGGTTGAACAGACTATGCTACATCCATGCCACAGACTACTGCTCTTCAATAAGAAACAACACACTTCAGACTAGATAGATCTTAAGGGCAATATGCTGAGTGAAAAACGCCAATCACAAAAGTTTATATACTA